CCATCCTCCTATCCCCCATTTACTCTCATTTCCTTCCCACTCCACAGTTCGACCCATCAGCACTCCCACCCCAAAACCACCACTTATCCCCAATTTATCCCCATTTTCTTTCTCATTTCCACCTCCACAGTTCGTTCGACCTATCAGCAACCCCCACCCCTCACCCCAAACCACCCCCACCCACTTATCTCCATTTTCGTTCTTCTTTCCAACTCTCCACAGTTCGACCTATCCTCACGACGCAGCTCAGCAATGTCCAGCAAATCCCCGCCCCGCAAGTCCTCCCCGGGCAAACGCACGCCGTCCGCCTCCCCTCCCAAGTCCTCCTCTCCGGCGGCTCGCCGGGCACGTAGCAAGGACAGCGGAGGAGGCGGGGGCGGCTCCCCGGGGACGGGGTCACGAGGTCGCAAACCGTCCAAGTCACCGCCCAAGTCGGCGGCCTCGGGGGGCAGAAAGGGCTCCTCCCAGTCCCCGGCGGCCCGCGCACAGTCCGGCAAGACGAGCAGGCAGAGCAGCAAAGGCAGGGCCGCCTCCAAGGATGGAAGCGCTAAAGGTGAATTTGGTGAAATGGTATAGAGGTTTTGTTTGTTTCTGGAATAGATTTTGTTCGTTTGTTTGTTTGTTTGAGTAATGAGAAGCACATCGACACAATAATGGTCATTTGGCGTGGGGAAAAAGTAAAACAGGCAAACAGACAGAGGTTACTTTTAATAAGAGGCGGGACCTCACCAGTTAACGTCCATCTGCTTCGAAAGGACCGAGTCAAAGCGGGAAATTTTTATAAAGTGCCTTTTCCCAAGGGAACTACATCGGACTGAACAGAGGTTCGAACCCCCCAAAACCGCAAGCTAATGGTGACGCGGGGATCCGTTTTTAAGTTTTAGTAACAGTTTGGCTTTGATTTGGTAAACGTTTTACTGCACTCGCAATTGATATATCATTCAGGGCACGTCAGGGCAAACCAGGGCCAAAATAAAACACAAACTCCAAGCAGAAAGACGGATTTTCGATTTTTAAAATTCTCCCCACACGAGAATTGAACTCACGCCTTGTGCATGGGACGGCGAAACACCTTACCACTACTACAAATGTACACAACACCGCAGGCAAACGCCGGTGCAGGACAACTGGTCGCTTTTAAGGACAAGAGTGGTATCCTTCCAGAAGTCTTGACCTGCACAAAAAGTGGGCACTGCACTACTCGTAGGAGAAGCTTGATTTCATTGGTGTGTTTATTTGTTTGGTTATAGAGAAAACTCTCCTTGTTTTTGTTTTTTTTAAGAAATTGAACAAGGGGCAAAACCGTTACCTTCGATTTTCTCAAAACAGCATTTTTCGGGATAGCCCCCTTGTGCTTAATAAAAGCGACCAATTAATAAAGTGGTCATGTTTTTCTTTCTACAACATTCCTTCTATTCCTCAGACAAGAAAGCGCAGTCCAAGAGCCCCGAGCTCACAGAGTCCGGCCTCAAGATCGTGGACTGGTCAGGCCAGGGGATGACCACCATCCCTTCGAATCTCGTCACAGGTCAGTAGAGATCACACTTTATAATATTTTAGTTTTAGTTTCAGTAACAGTTTTACGGCACATGCAACACGATTAGGTCATATAATTGCCGAATAGAGTGTCACTTGAGAGTAACATACAGGAGAAGGAGGAGAGATAAGGACGAATATATATGTTTGATAGGAACAAAGGAGCAAACCACACCAGACCACCCGCTGACCACCCACACGTCATTAGAGAATCACACAATTTTTCAAACGTGAGAGTGATTCCCCCTCCGATTCCGCACACGAGTTCAAACACAGCATACTGGAACCATACCATCATCATTACACAACTTGACCGCGAGTTCAACCATAGACTGACCTGCAGGAAAAATGTTCGTTCCACTAGCCCAACCATCCAATATCTCTGCAAGTTTTTCAGTTTAGTTTTAGGAAGAGTTTTACGGCACTTGCAACACAATAAGGTCACATAAGTGAAGAAGATTAGAGGTGTTACAAGAGAGTAACAAACACAAAAAAGGAGGAGAAATTTAGTACGATAGATAGATGTTTGATAGCAAAGAAGAAGCAAACCACACCAGAGCACCCGACAACCACCCACTCTGCAAGTTCGTTCTTTCATTCATCACCCATTAGCCCACAACTCGAAACTTTGGTTCAGTTTCAGTTTAGTAAAAGTTATACAGCGTTCGTAACTGCGTAAAATCACATGAAAGTGTTGGACAGTGTAAGAACATGGGTGGTGCCCCCCCCCCCTCCACACACACACACACGCGCACGCACACACACACACACACACACACACACACACACACACACAAACCACATCATCCCCTCCCAAAAAAAAAACCCACTCGTCACAACAGCAAAAAAATAAATAAATAAAATTCCCCCATCCAATCCCCCCCCCCCTTTTCCCCCCAGCCAAAGACGTGGGCCACCTGATCCTGGCCTCCAACAACCTGCGCTCCCTCCCGGTGGAGATCCGGCGCATGCGCAGCATGGAGAAGCTGGACCTGAGCAAGAACGGCATCCGGTGCACCAACAGCGGCGACTTCTCGGGCCTGCCCCAGGAGATGAGCGAGCTGGTCAACCTGACGGAGCTCAGCATCTCCGAGTGCAACCTGCCCTACATCCCGCCCGCCATCTTCAAGATCGCCAGCCTCAAGTACCTGGACCTCAGCAGGAACAAGGTGCGTTTGAGAACCGTTGTTTCGTTTTGTTTTGTTTTTGTCTTTTTTGTTGTTGGTTTTTTTTTTTGGTGTGTGTGTGTGTGGGGGGGGGGTTGTATTTTGCTTTGTTTCGATTGTTTCATTGTTGTCGGATTGTACGGCCAATCATACTCTACACAAGTCAGTTTTTAGTTTTGAAAAGTTTTACGGAGTTCACGTCTACTACTACATTAAATCTCTTTAGTTTTAGTAGAGGATTTACAGCGCTCGCAACTGCATAAGGTCATATGAGCGCCAGAAGATTAGAGGTGTTACAAGAGAGCAACAAACATAAAAAGAAGAAGGGGAGATAAGGACGATAGATGTTTAATAGGAAAGAAAAAGCAAACCACACCAGAGCACCCGCCAACCACCAACATATTAAATCTCTGCTTTGATGTCAGAGCTATTGCTGCGAGAAAATGCCTACTAAGAGCCAAGTGAGTGGAAAAAAATTAAGAAACCCCCCCCAAAAACTCAAATTCAAGATCCTAAACAAAATCATCCACATGACAGCACCGTAATCCAGCAAGAAGCCACCACAATTAACGCCACCTCCATCCCCAACCGTTTGATCGTATCTTGAACTAAGACACGTATAGAGGTTCATTTATCCACCAAATCCACACACATACCCACCCATCCAATTTCCTCTCCCAGCTGAATATCCTGCTGCCAGAGATCGGTCAGCTTTAGTTTTAGAAAGTGTTCTCCGGCACTTGCAACACAATAAGGTCATAATACAAGGGCCGAAGATTAGAGGTGTTACAAAAGAGTAACGACAAACACAAAAAAACACGGAGGAGAGATAAGGACGATAGATGATAGATAGGAAAGAAGAACCAAATCACACCAGAGCACCTGCCAACCACCCACACAAGAGACCGGTCAGCTGGAGAACCTAGCCAAGCTGAACCTGCAGCAGACAACCTGAAGCTTAGGGCTTTTATAATGTTTTAGAAACAGTTTAACGTCATTTGCAACACAATTAGGTCATACTATAAGCGCCCAAGTTTAGATGTAATTGTTGAAATTTTTACACCCCTCACCAACACTATTTAGATGGTAGATCATTAAGGAGGCGGTCTTCTATCACGGCCTGCCAGGACCAACCCAGGCTGAGAAAGACACAACATTCCAAGTGTTACAAGAGAGTAACAAGCACACAAAACAAAGAGGAAAGATGAGGACGATACAATAGTAGGAAATGAAGCAAACCACACTACACGACACCGCAACATCCACCAACCACCCATTCATTTTTCTTTTCCTCTTTCTTCTTCTTCTTTTTCGTCTTCTTCTTCTTCTTCTTCTTCTTCTTCTTCTTCTTCTTCTTCTTCTTCTTCTCCTCCTCCCCCTCCTCCCCCTCCATCTCCCAGGTGAACATCCTGCTGCCAGAGATCGGCCAGCTGGAGAACCTGGTCAAGCTGAACCTGCAGCAGACCAACATCACATCTCTGCCACCGGAGATCGCCTACTGCCAGGAGCTGGAGGAAGTCTACCTGTGGGGCAACTCCATCGAAACGCTGCCCGAGACCCTGCCCGAGATGCCCAAACTCAGGGTGCTAGCGCTCAACTACAGGTGAGGTGAAGAAGGGGACTTTAGTTTTTGAAGGAGGCGGAGGAGGAGGAGAGGGGGGGGGGGAGTAGGAGAAAAAGAAGAAAAAGGAGAAGAAGGATTACGCTGTTTTTGACAATTACAGAAGTCTGAGTTTTGATTTCGGCAGGGTCCCCACCAAATTCTAGAAAAAAAATTTTCAAGACCCCCACATTTTTTTCAAAACCCCAATTCAAGGAGAAAATAAGGTCGCTGCGCGTCAAGAATGATCCCCCCCCCCCTCCCCTATAAATGTTTAAAAGTCCAAATTAAAATGTCTTTAAATGAACGAACATTTTTTTGTAGTATAGTCTTCAAACAATACTAATACTATCTGTTGTTATTATTATTATTATTATTATTATTATTATTATTGTTATTATTATTATTATTATTATTATGATTATTATGATGATTCAATCCAGGAGTTTCTGCGGCGTGGTGGACCCGTACATGGAGAATCTGCTGAAGAAGGGACAGATCAAGTCGGAGCACATCCCCACTGTGGTGTTCGAACTCCCCGCCCTCGAGGTGCTGGACCTAGAGAGCACCAAGCTCAACACGCTGCCCGAGGTCTACAACATACAGCTCAAGGAGTTCTACCTGTGCAAGAATTTCCTACAGGTACATCATAAGGCGCTCGTCTCTGAAGCGGAAAGTCCGGGTTCGAGCCTCGGTTCGGACACAGATTTTTTCGCCCCCTCCTGCCAACCCAGCAGTAATGGGTACCTGACTTCGAGTTGGGGAAGTAAAGGCGGCGTGGAAAGGAACTGGCCACCCTACCACAATATGCCGAAGGCCCAGGAAGTTGTCTCACTAACAAGGAAATCCCCAATGTCTGTATCGGATGCGGGACAACTTTTTAGTTCATATTACATTATCGGAACAAAGAGTTGTTTAAAAGTTCTTTTTTAAGTGTTCGTAATACCAGATTTAGTTTTAATTTTAGTAAGTGTTCAAAGGCTCTGCCAGAACTGGTCACATCGGCCACAGCAAAAGCCAAAAGTCATCGTAAACTTTAAATCTTCAAATTCTTCTATTTCGCTTGAGAAATATTCTCTTTTTCTCTTTTTAAATTTTAGTAAGGTCTTTTACGGCATTTACAACACAATTAAGTCATATAAGTGCCGAAGATGAGAGGTGTTACAAGAGAGTAACAAACACAAAAAAAGGAGAAGAGGTGTGGATTTTTTTAAAGAATAGTTTTACGGCACACCTGCACACACACACACACACACACACACACACACACACACACAAAGACACACACATACGCAAGCACACAGACACACACACTCCTCATACCACCTCACTTTTTACACAACCCCCTCAGACCATCCCGCCCAGCATCTACAAACATCTACAACCTCAAGTACCTGCGTGTCCTGGACATGTCCAACAACCTACTCACTCTCTCTCTCTCTCTACATATACATGTAAATCACCTCACCTCACTTCCCCCTCGCCCCCCCCCCCCCCGCTTTTTTACCCACATATAAATCATCTTACCTATCCCCCCCCTCCTCCCTAGACCATCCCGCCCAGCACCAACAACCTAAAGTACCTGCGCGTCCTGGACATGTCCAACAACTTACTCTCTTTCTGTCTCTCTCTCTCTGTCTCCGTCTCTCTCTCTCTCACTACACACACACACACACACACATATGTATATTTCTCTCTTTCTCTCTCTCTACATATACACATATAAATCATCTCACCTCACTCAATCCTCCCTAGACCATCCCACCCAGCATCTACAACCTCAAGTACCTGCTGCGCATGCTCTCTCTCTCTCTGTCTCTGTCTCTCTCTCTCTACTTTTACATACACATATAAATCATCTCACCTCACCCAATCCTCCCCAGACGATCCCACCTAGCATCTACAACCTCAAGTACCTGCGCGTGCAGGACATGTCCAACAACCTGCTCTCTCTCTCTCTCTCTCTACTTTTTTTTTTACCCGTATTAGCTGTACTCGAATGTTTTGGGAGACCCGAGGCACCCTTTGCATGACAACCTAAGCAGCATCAAAGGAAATAAAATCAAACGGGGCAGCTCATGTATGGCAGAAGCCAAAGATTCCTTGAAGAAAGTTTGTGGCATCAATGAAATATGCTTTTTTGTACACATATAAATCATCTCACCCCACTTTACCCCCCTCACCAGACGATCCCGCCCAGCATCTACAACCTCAAGTACCTGCGCGTCCTGGACATGTCCAACAACCTTCTCTCTTTCTCTCTCTCTCTCTCTCTCTCTCTCTCTCTGTCTGTCTGTCGGTCTGTCTCTCTGACTACACACACACACACACATGTATATCTCCAATATCTCATACATATACATATAAATCATCTCACTACACACACTTACACACTCTCTCTCTCTCTCTCTCTCTCTCTCTCTCTCTCTCTCTCTCTCTCTCTCTCTCTCTCTCTCTCTCTCCCCAAACCAGACTCTCGCATCTCTGTATAACATCTATAATATCCGGTCCTGTAGCCTCGTCATATCGTCAGGATCAGTCTCTGGCGCTCTCGAGATCGCGCAGTGTCCGTCCGAGCAGCCGGGCGGGTCATTACCTAGAGCAAGTATTTAGTAGTGAGGATAATGGAGTCTATAAACAGGGCAACGGACAAGGAGAAGATCCGTGGACCCATGGGGAATGCCCGCGTTTCTCTCCCATAAATGCCAGCACAGCCGGGAAATCGGAATTATTTTCAACGATCGTCTGCTAATTTGTAGGGGGCGCCTCGTTGGCCGGCGGGATCTGGCGAGAGAAGGTGAGAGTGAGCGAGGGTTATCGTAGGCCGAGGGCGGCGATAAAAGTCAATGGTACGTGGCAAAGGGATATGTTGAAGATAAGCCAGGCTGCTCGGACGAAGACATTGCACACTCCGAGATCGGTCAGCGGCCACTGGACAAGTTTTGCTCTCTGATGATGGGAAGACATGGGGGTGTTAATGTGAAACGCGTAAACTGGAGTTTAGGCCAGGTGACCCAGAAATATTTACTTAGTCTTATCGGGAAATAAAGAATTGTATTTTTTTTTCCCAAAAGTTCCTTTTTCTAAAATTATCATCAGTACTGTTTTTTATATCCATGAACATTTCAATGCACAAAATTACACATGGACAAGAAAAGGAAACAAAATACATTATAACTGTGAATAAAGTAACAAAGAATGATGCATATATGTTGTTCCCAACTCATCAACACTGCGAGTTTTAAAGTCAAATAATTGCTTTTCCTGATTTTGTCCGCATTTTAAAAAATTCCAAAACACCTGTTTAGGATTTTGGTGTGTTGATTTTGATCCGTAGCAATGTACAATGTATGCAATTTCAAAAGTTAGATACTCTGTCTCATGCAGTTTCAAGATAGCCCTGTTCAAGGTTCCAACCAGTGACACTCGCCGTATAAAAATATATAAAATAAATAAATTACACTTTTATTTTTATCCCAGAAGGGCACTTTGGTTTATAATGGCAAACATACATACATACATAAATACATACTTACATACATAATTATAAATAGGTACATACATAAATACATGCGTAAATACATACGTAAATACACAATATTACACAAATACAGAACAGTTAACAACCATGCCACTGTCAGTCGCCACTGTGCAGCGCTCTGTATTTTGATCTAGTGTTGCCGTGTCTTGCTCAAGGACACACCCCAGTGACCACCCATCTGATCCCCGTGTCACCGACACTTGCTTGACATTACTAGAGTCTAAACTCACTACTCACTTAGCCACTGGAGCCCCAGTATGTCCCACGATTATAATATGAACCGAGCTAATGGTACCGTACGGTTGGTCGATGGTTCCATGATCAAACGTTCTCTGAATCACGGGATGTCCCTTTACGAGAAATTTAATATGTTGTTCCCGACCAAGAGGAGACAGACTCCCACACACTCAGCACAATAAAAGAAAAGTGTGTGCAGGGAACAAGGGGAAAAAGTTTGCTCCGAATAGTGGTGAGGCGTGTCTCAAACCAGCTCCTCATGGAGACAATTAGCAGGAAGACCCTGAGGTGGACGCTGGAAAGGAGAGATGAGCAGCTATGGACATGTGCCGCCTGCTATGATTCTAGCTCTGGATCCAAGTAATCCTAGTAATCCAAAAATGTTCTTCTTTTGAACTGATGCCATTCCGATATCAACTTCGGTCTGCTCTGTAACATACATGACGAGACTTTGGAGAAGGATTTGAACGTTATATTTGGTCGCTTTTAAGGACAAGCGGGCTGACCCAGATTTAAGGGGTTTCCAGAAATCTTGACCTACACTTAAAGCAGGAGAAGCGAAGTTTGGCTTCATTGGTGTGTATATTTGTTATATGTTTGGTTATAGAGAAAACCATCCTTGTCTTTTAAAGAAATTGAACAAAGGGCAAAAACTCTGCCTTCGATTTTCTCAAAACAGAATTTTTCGAGATAGCTTAAAAGCGACCAATTATAATTATGAAGACAGCTTTCAACCGTTTAGCACTTCCTTCGACATTTTCTGGCCGATGGGAACATTTTGATGAGGATGTAAAACTAAGAGCGTTACTAGAAAAACAATTACAATTTACTTTCACACTATCTCAAGACAATTTCGTTTTTGTTGTTACTCACTTTGGGTAAACGTTTACATTGTGGGGGGTTTTTTTCAAACATGACCCTACAGTAATCTCAAGATGAGACTTCCCCTTACTTAGACTTTGGTAAAAACAAATGCAAATAATCCCTTTTAAAAACAACCCAGTTGCTCAAATTTGGTGAGATAGTGTGAACCCCCTAAGAAACGCCACTTTGCTCACTTAATGTCCTGTCACTGACCGCTGTGATGACCCCCGCCGCAGACCGGACATATTATGACGTCACGTTCGTAAAAGAAGATAGAAGTCTCGTGTCGGTTAGAGACAACGGTTTGACGCGCCAGTGTGACTTTCGGTTTCCTTTTCCCGGCAATGATTGTGGCTGACACAGGACGTCACCTTAAACGTGACTAAGTCGTTCATTAACTCCTTTTGTCTGGTAGAATCATGAGCTACTTTTTAACCCTATCCGTACGTCGTGTTTTACTATCGTATCCATACGACGAGGGGAACTCAGTGCCACCACATTCCAAAGAGAAAATGTACACGTTAATCCGATCCGTACGCTTTGCATAGCAGTCTGTCAAAATGATTTTTTTTAGAAATACTGAAAGTTTCAAAGAGATCTTCGAACTAGAGGTATTCTAAAATGTGAATAGTACAACAACCCCTGGGGTACAAAATGACCCCAGGGCGTGCGGATATGGGTTCAATTAGTTATCTTCTGGTCACAACGATTCCATTACAACAACTCATTTGCTCTATTTTGTCACAGAATGTTATTGTTTTAGGAAGGTTTTACGGCCCTCGCAACTGCATACGGTCATATGAGCGCCAAGGGGTGGATGTCAACTGAGAAGTCTAAACGGGAAGTCAGGCTTATTCTGCTCACCTCTCTAGCCTCAACAGCACAAAGTCTCACATGGTTTAAATCCCTAAGAAACTGTAAAACAATGAAACACATCCTTACACCTTCTTTGATTCCCAAACATCTTGACGATGTCTCTCCTTTGGGACATATCAAAGAAGTCACCATCTGAAAGGGGTGGGGGCGAGTACTATGCTTCCCGGGAAGTTGAGAATGTTTCGGAGTGTTCTATGGTCTGCTGGGGTAATAATATAGTGTAAAGCGCATAGAGCCTGCTGTTGAGCGGGGATATGCGCTATACAAATGCTATCTATTATTATTATTACTACTTGGGCAATCTACTTCCTCAGTGTCAAGCGCCCAAGTCAAGCTGTTTCATGAGTACTGCTTTAACCCCTTCACCGTTACAACGTCCATCT